TAAATATCACAACAACAAATCATCAATTAAAAATTTAACATTCTAAAGGAGATGTAAAACTATAACTAGAACTCTAGAAGGAGAGAAATTTTGGAGCTCCCGGACTGTTAACTCAGTGGTCCGGACCAATCAAAATCAGATAATTATTGAGGAAAAAGAAAAGGTGGAATATAAAAAATAAATTTTTGTCCAAGTGGCACTCCCTAAATGCAAGGACCACACGGAACCTGGAGCATCAAAAAAATTCGCTTTAGAAGCAGCTTACTTTATGATTATTAAAAAAAAAATTATGCAAAACTATTCATAATATCTTAAAAAAAAATGAAACGCTTCTTCCGAACCCATTCACTAATTATGCAGGTATAAATAAAATTTGTTGGGGCCGCCACTAACCCCATTGGATGTGTGGCCGTATTACTTCGGATGTGTAAAAAGTCATGCAGTACATAAAAAGTGTGAAAGGATACATATACAAAGTATTCATGTGCTCCACGTACGTCGGACGACCATATGAACTAGTTAGGCAAGGCTATCTTGCCGGATTAGAACATAAAGCTAAAATGAATTAGGGATTTGCATTTGTCATTTAACATGACATAACAAACTTTCCTATACACACAATATTTTATGGGGTCTACACTTTTTGAAGAAAAAAGAAAAAAAGAAAATTACGGCACGCAAAACGAATCTCTATAATATTACACAATCAATTTTCCTACAACATAACTTTTATAGAACCCAATGAATTATTGCTTTAAATAGATTTTGGTGTTGAAGCTACTTAACATTCATACGGTTTTCATCTGTTAACTTCTAAAATTGACCTTTAAAGAGATTTTGACCTACCATAAAAGAAAAAAAACTATTATTTTGGTCCTAAATTTTTTAATATAATTTAAAAAATCTAACTTTATGTTTTTAAATTTTTTTAAATATTTTCTTAAATTTTATCAACAATTAATTTTTGTTAATAACAGATACCTATTAAAAAATTTATATGAAATATAGAGACTTATTTAATCATGCTATTTTTTAAATAGATATCTATATATATATATATATATATATATATATATATATATATATATATATATATATATATATAATGGATCCTTGTAATTTAGCAAACGATAATGACAATTTGCTAATCAAGACTCATTTAAATGAACTTATTTAATTTTTAATAAAACTATAGTACTTACTCAGTAATTTAACCTTAAAAATTTTTGTGCAACTTAAGTCCAAGCTCTTGAACTAACTTTGTAATATTAGATTTATTGTCTCATGTTTTAAATAATTAAGAAGTATGACTAGATAATTAAAACCAAATTAATTGGATTGGTACGAATTATTTTGGATAATTAGTGTAATCCACAATAAATTTAATAGAAACCAATTAGCATTGGGGTCGGTTCTTAGTTTTATAATTTTTAAACTCGAAATCCGAACTCAAATTAAACCCGATCAATCTTTCCCTAAATCTTCAAAATAATGTATTTAGTCTTTAGTAAATAAGTCTATTATCTTCTTTTATCTCTTTCAGACACACTCACCTATTGTACAAATTGTTACTAAGTACATTTGATTATATGTTTACCATGAAACTTTATCATTATATTTTGGATAAAACATTAAGGCAAAAATGTGTATCATTTTAAATTATGTAAAGTTGTGTCATTTTAAGTGAGAGAAAGAGATAGATAAAAGAGGGGAGAGAGTGAACAAAAAAAATAAAGGTGTGGGTCTCACTTCTTTGTGAGAGTAAAAGGATATAAATTTTATCATTTTAAAGGACAAACACTTTTTCCAAACATTAATGGAGAATATAAAAATATTATTATGAAAAGAAATAAATGTTAGTGAAATATAATATCAAACTTTTTTATTTAATTACTGTCTCAATTGAAGGATGAATAAACTAATAATTTATCTTGTAATAATAATAAAAATTCAAATAATGAATGAGAATAAAATTTAGAAAAATAAAATAAATTATATCTTTACTTAAATCTGATGACCTGAATCAAACTAACCTGATTTTGGTGGAATTGAATTAGTTTGGATAGATTAAAAAATCTTAATAAATTAAACTAAAATCAACTCAATCGTATACGATTAATTTATTTATTTTATCTCAAACATGAATCAAACTGACCCGGAAAGAGTGCTAATTGTGTACGTGGTTGTAAAAGAAATTAGCAAGGTATGGGGCGCGCCGAAATTTTGAATAGTCTTGCTTATTGAGTAGGACTGTAGGAGTGGACCCTTAACACAGCAAGACTTACCGGGAAAACCAATCAAAATGTCATTTTTCACCAAGTTTTTTATCTAAATGTCACGCGAACAGTGTTATTTTTCAATATGCCACGTGAGCAAGTTCGTTGGGCACTGTAGCGAACTCTGTTTGCTGACGTGTCACATTTCTGTTCCGAGTTATGGCTTATGAAGTTTAATTTAAGGGAAAAATATGTATAATATTAAAGGATGTAAAGTTATGTAATTTTAAGTTAGAGAAAGAGATAAATAAAAGAGGTGAGAGTAGACAAAAAAATATAAAAATGTGGGTCTCACCTCTTAGTGAGAATAAAAAGATATAAATTGTGTCATTTAAAAAGATAAATATTTTTCCCTTAATTTAAATGGATAACGTTAGGAGCGAAAAAATAAAATAAAAAATTGAATTTTTTTTAATCACTTTGGATAAAGTTGAAGATTCTGTTTGTCACGGTGATATTGCTTTGTCTGACAGTAAACTTCGGCTTCACATAAAACGTGTTATTTAATTTTCCAATGAATATTTTTTTAGAGTAAATATCATTTTTTGTCGTCAGTAAATTTTACGATAACCGCTTTAGTCTCTAGCAAATAAAAAGGTCCATCGTGGTCCCTAAAAAATTCAAAATGGACCCATTTAGTTGAAATTGTGGTCCCTCACAAATTCAAAAAAGATCCATATTAACCCCCAAAAAAATTGAAATGAATCCATTTTAAATTTCTTAGAGATCAAAAAAAGATATTTACTCTTTTTTTTTAATCACTTAATCGCCATGTACAGAAATATCTTCTTTTACTGTCCCTTTTTTAGTAAAAAAAAAATACGTGTGTCAGGTCACGTGTGTATGTTGCACATTACTGGAAAGTGACCAAAATATCACTGTTCATCAACTTTTTTACTTAAATGTCACACGAACAGTGTTATTTTTTAATCTGCCACGGGGGCAAATTCGCTACTCGGTGTAGCGAACTCAGTTTGCTGACGTGTCACGTTTCTAGTTGACACCAACTTGATTTTAACCAAGTTCGCCTACATGGTAGGCTAACTTCATTTTTTTTATTTTTTTTATTTAAATTGATACTTGTTATCCACTAAAAATGTGACACGTCAGCAAACCGAGTTCGCTACACCAGGTAGCGAACTTGCTCCCGTGGCAGATTGGAAAATAACACTGTTCGCGTGGCATTTAGGTAAAAAAGTTGGTGAACAGTGATATTTTTGTCAGTGTTCCGCACATTACACACTAAATTTTATTAATTTTTATCTATATTTTTCGGAGTTTAAATCTTTAAATTACTATTTTGGAAAGATTTTGTCAAATTACTGATCTTAATATGAGCGATAAATTTATAGTACCAGTAAAAATATCTTGGTTAAAGATAAAAAAAAATCTCTCGATGAATTTAATTTACTAACTCTTCAAAAACTTGTCCAATAATACATATTTATATTTACACAAACTCCTTCAGCATAATCTTTTATGCTACACGTCGTTTTTTAATTTGAATGGCACAATTATGACAAAAGAGAATAACGTAAAAAGTTGTTCTAGATATTAAGTGTTCTATCACTGTAAACTTTAAATATCTTAACTTAAGTACTAGACAAAAAAAAATGCTAACATCAAAAGACCACTACTTAATCATTGAAATTAAGATTTTAGAATATGGGTCAACCGAATAACATTATGAAAAATTAATTTTTTCTTTTGGTTACAAAATTATCATTACTTTATTAAAAGTTTAATTCTAAAGAGCATACCAAAAGGTCTTACTGATTGACTATACCTTGAACATCTGTTGTATTTTTCTATCTTGTCGAAGTAGATGTCGTTTTAAGAGTTCGAATTTCTTATTTATTTATTATTTTAAAAATTAAGATGATATTAACTATTTTTTAATTTTATTTATTTTCAAATATTTTACCAGCATAACCTGAAAAAGTATTAATCTAGGAAATGATAATTTAATATAGTACATTCCTTCCTTTTTAAAATTATTATTATTTTAAGATTATAGTAAAGAATTAATAGAATTACTAAAAATACATAAACTTAATACATAAACCAAAATAAAAAAATTAATTAATAATTTTCTAATGTCTATACATGACAAATGAATTAAAACATCAAAGTGATAAGCATAAATATATAATAAATTCTGAATAAAACTTTATACGACAGTTATTTAAAATAAGAGAAAATAATGGCCGGTCTAGATGACTAGATGTCTCGAAGGAAAAATCACTCAGTTTAGTTAGTGTAAAAGAGTTGAGTGAGTGAAAAAAATTCGATTCAATTTTCACTAAAAAATTTAATTCTTCACTCATTTTATATTTGTGATTAGTCCTGTAATTAATTCAAAGATTCAAACTATTGAGAGGCTACTCAATTCAAAAAAATAATTAAGATTTGTATTTAAAAAAAAGAAAGTACTTGTCGGCGAAGCCGCTACAATACTACATTATTGCCTTTGATAACGTTGATGTCTACCTCTACTTAGATGACACTTTCCACCTCTACTTTTTCCTTCTTATTCTTCTTCTATTTTTCTTTTTTCTTTCTTTTATCTTTAAAAAAATTGAAATTTATATAACAAATCTGAAAAAGGGAAAACTATTATCCACGCGCAGAGATTGCGAGTACACCTAATCACCGAACTTAACTATAATTCTATAAATAATGTACTTCTCACTTCACAGTTGTCACTAACTTCAACTAATCAGAGCAGCAATCACTAGCAGAGTGTGTTGTGTTGTGTTGTGCAGTGTAGTTAGTGTTTATTCTGATGCGCCACCGCAGTCGGAGCTCTCCTCCACCATTCGCCACCGCCGTCGCGTCTCTCTCCTTCACTGTTGAATCATATAACCATGTCGAGCCAAGATTCCCGGTCATTGAACTGGCACTACACAGAACTCGATGACAGAGACCTCGAGATTCGAGGGAGGACCCTGTTCTTCATCGTCGTGCTCTTCTCCGTTATCCTTCTCATCACCGTTCTCTTCCTCTACACTCGCTGGGTCTGCCGCTACCACGGCCACCTACCCTCCACCGCGTTATCTCCCCACGCGCCGCCGCCTCCGCCGCCGCAGGGGCTTGACCCCGCCTCGATAAAGAAGCTGCCCATTATCTTGCACCAGGAGCTGTCGGACCCCAACGGCGGCGCGTTGGACGAGACGGAGTGCTGTATCTGCCTTGGCGAGTTCAGAGACGGCGAGAAAGTGAAGGTTTTGCCGGCGTGTAACCACTGTTTCCATTGCGAGTGTGTTGATAAGTGGCTCACTCATCACTCTAGTTGCCCACTTTGCAGAGCTTCTTTAAAGGTTGAATCTTCCTTCCCAAACATTTTGATTCAGGAACCACCCATTAGAATTAACATCCAGTTTTAGCTTTTGGGTCTTAATCTTATTTCACATTATTAATAAAAATCATAACTTTCCTAATTTTTATGTGCCCTTTTTGTAAATCGTTGTAAAAAAAAAATAGTGTTAAGATATACCTGCTAAATGATAATCATATATTAGTATACAATTTTCTTACCACATTTATTAATTTTACTAGTTTGACATGTTTTTAAAAAAATTGTTTCTGCAAACTTTAGACAATTGCACATGATCTAGGTGGAAGAAATTAGAAAGTGGATTTGTCTTTTGATATTATTTAATGGAGTTTGTGTTCCCACGTTGGATGGCTTCAAAAATGGTCTTGGAATTTCACCCAACGTCTCATGTTTGATAAAAGTCCTGAAAGATGTTGCTCTTCTGAGTCAGCTGTGGCTGGGTCTAGTACTAGGATATGTGGTCCTGCTTCTTATGTAAGTGGATATTTTAATTGAGATTGGGTCCTCAAAAAAAGATGAATCTAGATGCTGCTCTTAAGGAGCTTCTTCCTATCCAATTTATGGTTTGATATATTTTAGTATATAGTATAATAATATGAAGTTCTATATCACATTTAAAGTTTATAATTTTTATTTTGAATTTCTGATCAAAATAATAATAATTATAATCATTGAAGCTATGGACTACCAAAATTAAGCACTGTGTCCCCTCATCTCTTTATCTCTCTCCTTATTGCTAAGTTTGACGTTGCTTTCTTACACCTACTTCTGTTGGAAAGCAATTGAACCTGGCCGTGTATGGATAATGTCGTGCTGGAAAATTGAACTCTCGAATTTGGCATGCTGTTTCTTTGATCAGACAGTAGCGTTCATTGCGGAAATGTGCCATGATATTGGTGATGGAGGATACTTATTGAGTGTACTGTGAATTGAACAATTGATTACTGACATGAGTATTTAAATTCAAGTTACGAGCTCGTGCACCATGTGATAGTTCCGTGAAGCAAATTAATTGTTCATTTGTCCCGCTAGGTGTACTGTTTTTAGAACAATGTTTCCAATCCTTAAAGTAAAGACAAATCATAAATATAAAAAAAGCAATTCACTTGGGCCATGTACATTGACTGTAAACCGAAAGCAAGGCATTGCCCAGTTCAATCAAGAAAAAGGCCCCTCCTTTACTTTTATAGAAAAAGTTTCTTTCTTTCTTTTAAGAAAAGCTTTCAAAGTAAGTTATTCTCTAAAATTAAGAAATTTAATTTAATTTACTTTTAGATCATTTTATAAGTTAAGATCGCAATATATTTTAAATTAAACTAGTGATAAATATATTCTTATTTACTCATTTAGAGATAAATTTATTTTAAATGATTCTTTTGTTACTTAAGGATAATGAATGATTTTATCTTTATTCTTCAATAATATTATACAATAATATTAGGATCATACCCAAAAAAAATTATGGATTAATTGACAGTTGTCGATCTTAGCGGTACATGACAATTGTCATCTAATTCAAATTTTTTCTTTATAATCATGCTTCACCATTATCATTTTATTAAATATTTATGGTCTATGCTAGTATCATGTTGCTGGAAATATAAATTTTTTCAGTTGACCCATCGATATTTGTGCTGCATTTTCTTTTTTTTTCTTTTTTTTTTTAAAAAAAAATGGCGAATCTCACATTTGTTGTCTCTATAGCATTACATAGATATTGTTCTGCAACATGATACTTATTTCCCCCGGCAAAAGCACCATAGTGCTAATATATAGCAAAAATATCTCTTGTTCAAAGCACATGTGAAAAGTATCTCCAAATCAGAGCAGTCAGTCCCGTCATATATGTTGCCAAGTTCAGTCTCGTCAGTTATGTTGACGAGACTCCTTTCCACGTCACCAATTCGGACTTGTGTTACCACATGGCAATTCTTATTGAGTCTTGGCAACAAATGTGACAGCACTTAGGTAGCAATTTTTGGTTGAGTCTTGACAATAAATGTGACAGCACTTAGGAAGCCATTCGTGGCAATCACGTTGACGGGACCCAAAGCCTTGTCACATAAAGTGACGGTACGCAGTAAAATACGCAGCGACTCCAGTAAAATACACAAAGAATCTGAAATAGGTTCACACACGAAGAAAAAGCAAAGCAAAGTATCATATCGAATCCAAAACAGTTTCACCCATGAATAAAAAAGAGAGCAACCCGTGAATAAAAAAGAGAATAATTATACTGACAAACGTGGTGGTAAAACAATAAAAACACATGTGAATTTTCAATTGAGACATACGAAAACCACATTTTGTATATATATATATCCCCTTAGTCGTCCATTGCATTCTTCAGAACAACTTGTGTTCATCTGTATTTTTTTACTCTGTGTTGGTAGTCATTATTTTCTTATTCTCTAATTTAATTATTACTTTATATAATATAATTTTTGTCTTATAGTGTAATTCACGTTTAATTAAAAAATACAGTGTACACCAGGAATTTATTAAAATAAACTTTAACGTAGGGTTTTTATTACATTTTACAATAGGATTTTTATTCCTATCAAATAATGTAAAAACTAATAACCACATTAAATAACATAATTTAAAAGACAATTAAAATAAAATAAAATAAAATCAAAGAGAACTATGGGTGTGCACCTGGGCGCAGCTGCAGGGAGGAGGAGAAGAGAGGTGGGCTTTTTAGAGAGAGAGGGAGAGGATTTTAGAGAGAAGGCAGAGGAAAAATTTATAGAGAGAGGGAAAAAATTTAGAGAGAAGGAGCCAAGAACCAGAAATGCAGGGAGGAGTGGGAGACGTGGGTCTAAGGGATGAGTGTTGTCATATTTGTTGCCAAGACTCAACAAGAATTGCCACATGGCAACACTGGTCCGGATTGGTGAAGTGGAAAGCAGTCCCGTCAACATAACTGATGGGACTAAACTTGGCAACATATATGACGGGACTGACTGCTCTAATCTGGAGATACTTTCCACATGTGCTTTGAACCAGAGATATTTTTGCTATATATTAGCACCACAGTGCTTTTTTCATTTCCCCCCATATTTATTAAATAATGGTTACAAAACGACGCACTATAACATATATAATCCTGCTTGCTCATAAACAAATTGTTGAAATGCCACAAAACAAGATCCGTTGTCAGCAATTGTGGCTCCCATCTTATACCTATCAGGCTATCATATAAGCAACAACTTGTTGTTAACAGTAACAGCTTCAGAACCTGCTATCGGTAGAAGTTGATCCATGACCCGCTTGGACAAATAGTTGGTCTTGTCATCTATGGACACATGACATAATCTGTTACGTACTTCCCACCTATATATACCTTGTTTCCTTCACAGTTTTTTCATCCATTTATATTTCTTGAAATCTCCATTCTCTCTAAAGCTTCATTCCAAGTAAGTTTATATTCCTCTGCTATTTAATTTTTGTAAGTAGAATATTAATTGTAGGGTAGTGTAATGTAGTGTAGTAAAGTGATCTAGTAAGATAGTGAAGTGTAGGATATAAACCCTATGTGGTGTACATAAGAAATGTCTCATGTGCCTGTGATAAATACATACGATTTTATAATAAATGAATGGGCTAAATGATTATTGGCAATTGACTTTTGGGAAGAGGTTTCGTGATTGCTTGATTGGAGTAATCATATCCATAGAATATTAGAGTCATGTCTTTTGGATACATAATTTGGGATTTTCCAATCATGGTGCCTAGTGATGATGCAGGAATGTTACATCTGAATTTGTTCCTGAATGAAATTAACGAATTTAAAAAAATGATTAGAAGTATGTTACGTAATTCATTTTGCAAATTTTATACATTGCATATTAATGTTCACCTTTGGTCAATCCATTAATATTCATTATTACTAATTACTATATTAACTTATTTAATATATTCTAGTGTATTATAGTGTAGTGTAATGTAGCATATTAATTTATTTTACTAAATTTAAGATCAACTATTAATTATTAAAATAAAAAATAATCACTGTAAAAATTAATAATTAAATATACATGTTAAATAATAAATTAACAGATTAATTATGTCAAATATTTAATTATTGTAATTTAATAATTAATTAGAAATGTATAAATGAATTACTAATTGAATAATTTATTAATGTATACAATTAATATTATAGTGCAAAAATTGAGTGTATTATTCGCAGAAAAATTATTTTGATAATTTAATTTATATTTCATTTATTAATTAGTGTTGTGATTAATTTATCAGTATTTATTAATTAGAGATATCGCATCCCCTTGTGCATCACCCGTTCATTTTAAAGGTAGGAATCTTGATCAGTCACCCACACAGTCTATGCGGAGCCTGGATGATCTAGACCCTATCGATACCTCTCTCCAGATATTATAGGAGAAACATATCTCCACGCATGTGTGGAATGGTGATGCAGGTTGTATGAAAAATGTGAGACAAGTTGCATCTCATGATCACACTCACATATTGGAGGACGCCCATAAGTTCCAGAGGTAGGTTGGTTTCCTTCACGTGGCCACACTTAGAAACCACAAGGTCTGTATAAATAATTATAATTTTTTATCATTATTTTAATTTAATTTAATTTATAATATGTTATTTTTTCCTTTTTACGCATTCGTCACTGCTTCTTTGGAACGTTGGCACCCAGAAACACAAACATTTCACCTGCTACAGGGTAAGATCACGATCAAGCTGAAGGACGTTCAATATTTGTTTGTTTGGTCTTCCCATAAATGGTGAACTAATATCAGGGAGGACTGATGGTGTTGATTGGCTTCCACTGATTTGGGAATAGTTAGGGATCGTTCCACACAGAAGGACTTCGATTTGATTTCCACCAATGTCATCTTAGGGAGGAACATAAAAACTTAATTATTGACCCGCCTCATACTCAGGATCAGCCCTATAACCTGCTCAAAAATTCTAAGCTTGTGAAAATATTCGGGGGAGTCTATTAGCCTCAAAAAAGTAATTAAGGTTGGTATAAAAAAAGTAAATTAAAAAAGTACTTTGTCGGGAAGCCGCTACAATGCTACATTATTGCCTTTGATAACTTTGATGTTTACCTCTCGTAGTTGACACTTTCCACCTCCACTTTGTCCTAGTTGTTAGTTGACTGGATGTTCCCCCTTAATGCTAAGCCTTTCTTGATTTGGGTGTGCCTATTTAAATATGTATAATGTTCAATATCAGCTTAAAATGGACTACTACTATCACCTACATATTCACATAGGTCAATCACATGCAAAAACCAAATACAATACATATGTTAAATAAATGCTTTGATTTTATACACTAACTAGTGATATCCTCCCACAATGTGTGGTGATGGAACTTGAGGAAATATTGCAACTTGAGGAAATATTGCAACATTCCTCGAAACGACAGGTGGAGATGGTTCAACATCAAAATCGCCCTTCACGTTGCTATTTAATGAGTCATTGTTCGAAAGTAGGCCTTCGTCAACCTCATCTTCATCATTTTATGCACCCCAAGTAGGATCATATAATATTTTTCGACAGTCATTTGACTTATAATTAGTGGAGGTTATTATGGTGGAAGGAAGGAGACTTACCTCTCTTCATTTTAAAAAATGGCTCCTTATGAATGTTAATTGACTGAATTGAAGGGAATGACGATTTGTGCAGAGTGTTCGCCACAATCTATTTTTGCGTACAAATCAATGAATCCCGTCCTAGTCTGCGTAACAATTGCATCAATTATACATGCCACATGATCATCGTCAATAACTTCCACACATAGCCATTGCCCATCACCAGTGTCATGTCTAGCTGTCAAGAAAGAAACTAATTGTTTATCTTGTAATCCTAATTTCTTGTGGATTGTCTTCTTTAGAACATAATAGCTACAACAGGGATTGATGCAAATTATTCTTGAATCTGTTTCGAAAATAATACCTTGAGAACCATAATATTTTCTATCATTGTAGTATACAATCCCCATTAAGGATTCACGATTGAACTCGTTTTTTAAATGTGTGGGTAAAACAATGACTACATAAGTAAGAAAATTATACTTGAAGCAAAGGTATACATGTTGAAGAAAATGGCCTGAAAAATGTGTTGGGGATGAGGGCTGTGGTTATGTATGATGGATGGACAAGATTGTGCCACGTGATAACATAATGTGAAACTAGTTAAGTTAAATGGCGGGTCCAGGTCCTATGCGTTTTACATGTGCCAAGGTAGGCAATGACCCACTGTCAGCAATAGCTGGTCCTGAACCTTTGGGACCTACAACGATTCCTAGACCTATTGTTGTTGACAAATGGTCCTTGCCTGCATGACACGTGTAAAAAGAGAACTACCTACTGACAACGAGTTTGTTTTGTGGTATTTCATTAATTTGTTTCCAAACAGTGGTATTTTGGATTATAAATTCTAGAGTAAAGTACCTTTTGGGTTCACAACAAATATCACAAAGCCCAATTTAATCTCTTAGAAAAAAAATCGACTCGTGGTCCCTCAAAGGGACTAACATGGGTCTTTTTTGAATTTCAGATGGACCACAATTTTGACTAATTAAGTCTATTTTGAATTTTAGAAGGACCACGAATCGATTTTTTTTCTGAGGGACTAAAATGGGCCATGTGATTTTTTTTAGGACCCAAAAGGTACCTTACTCTAAATTCCAAAAATAGCATTTTGATATTTCACTACAAAAAAATCGGCGAGTAGGCACATTTGTTTACCTACATTTGTATTACATGTGGCAAATTTAGTAAAGGAAGCTACCGGGCAAGTGAAAAGTAGTCCCTCGTGTGCTTAAAGAACGAAGCCCAAACCTTCATACCATAATTTTCTTTTCCATCTCCAAAATTTTATGCTCTAGCAAATCGAAGCAACATCCTCATCCTTGTCGTATAGAATTGAAAACAATCAATCACCTTTGGCAATTCTTTTTCCCCTACAAGCTTTCAGATCTCATCAAATCATTGAAAATCCAGGTTCATAAAGTTTCATCTTGCTTTGTGCATTCATTGTTTTTCTAGATAAAAAATTGGGTGATTCAATTGGCCTGTACTTTTTTTTGTACATAAAAATTTCAAAAAAGAAAAAAGAAAAGATGGTGTTGTATGAAGGTGAAATTGACTACCTCAATGGTAGTTAGTTTCTGAAAAATCTCAAGATCGAGTTTTTTTGGATCTAATAATTATGGACGGTGAAATAACCTTAATAATTAACGTGGTGAGTTGTACCAAAAAAAAAAAAAAACATTAACCAGGTGAGTTGAAAAAGGAAAAAAATTGCATATACTTATTTGATGGGTACTCTTTCAGCTTCTTTTCTCTTTATAAAAATTAAGGGAAGTATTAGGAATTATTATAAAGTGATATTTGATGCCTTTGTCATTTGATATTTGGCTTTTCTTCGTAAATCTATAGTTGTGGCCTATGTTGGACCAACATCGACACGAGACACGACATGACACGCTGACACGTTATTCTAAAAATTATTAGATTTCGACACGTTAGGACACATTTTGATATTAAATAATATTTTAATATATAATATAGTTTACATTTAATATATATAGCAACTCATAATAAATTATATAATCAATTAAATATTCAAATTCCACAACATAAGTATAAAAAAAGATAAGTTTTCATGCCTTGTTAATTTTTTAGGTCAAATTCCATAACAGAAAATATTTGATTTATAAATGAATTTTTCATGTTTAGTTGAAAAGATAAAAAAAAAATTGGATATAAAAAAAATGTCAAAAAACATTGACCGATTGTCGGAAGCGTGTCAAAAAACGTTAATTGTGTGTTGGAGCATTGACTACGTGTCGAAAAATATTGATCGCATATCGGTATCCGACATGCAAATTTTTTCCCCCAAAGAGGGTGTCCATGCATCAGAGGTTGTGGCCTTAGCCATTTGGCTCTTTACAAGCCAAAATTTTGGGATAAATTTATAATGTAAATCTACACCTTAGACCTTTGGGATTTGGTTCTTTTTTGTAAGAAAGATAAAATAAATATATTGATTAAGTTTCTAATAGTGTTAAAAATGACTTGGATGGAAAAAAAGAAGGGTGTAAATGATAAAAAAACATAAAAGTGTAAATGATTCAAAGACAAACCACAACGTTATTTGAACTTTTTCCTTATTTTTGTAGTCGATATTTTTTTTTTGGTACACTATTTATTTATTTTAAGATAGTCTATCACTCTATTGTTTGCAATAACGTGGTTGTTACATCTTATGATAATAATGGTATAATAGTAATGAAAATGATAATAAAAAAATTCAAATATTTTCTCTTACTTTTTCCAATCTTCTCGCCCAAAATCTTCCCTCACCTTGATTTTCTCCCTCCTCCTCAATCTTATTTCTCTCTACCTCTTTCCAAATCGTCTTCTTTTTTTCTCCCGTCTTTTCCCTTTCTTTTCCACGAACCTTTGAAAAAACTACAATGGTGCATCATTGACAAAAATAGACAATCTAATTAAAGAAAAAGAAATATTAAGAAAATTTATAAAATTGAAATATGAGAAAATTCTAAAACACTTTATCACATGGTTGCTAATTTGTCACACATGGATAAAATATTGAAAGAAGTGGCTATTAATAAAGGGAAAAATATGGATCCTTTTAAATGACATAATTTTTGTCGTTTTACTCTCATAAAGAAGTGAGACTCACACCTTTATTTTATTTTTCGTCTACTTTTTCTCCCCCGTGATTTTTTTTTTTTTTTTCACTTAAAATACACACATTTTTTCGTTTATAAAACATTTATTTCCGCGTGAAGGCAAGTCACCTCCAGTTCTTGGACCCTCGGATTTCAAAAGGTCTAATAACCACCAAGTAGAATAATAGTCAAACCTAACTTGAAGAGCCCAAAGCCTTATCAAATACAATCCAACCAGTTGAGTCGACCCACAATGTTGTCATTCTTATAGCAATTTGAGATATTCTAAGAAGTGGAAACATTTTATAATAGTTTTTTTTTTTGAAAAAAAAAAAAAAAACTGTGTTACATACTTCGCAAACACATTGGATATCAATATGCATTTTTTTACTTTTATGTTCTTATTTTTTATATTAATACAAATGAAAATAGTATAATAATTAAATAAATGATGCTATTTTATCATACCTACGATAGCTAATGCTTATGTTCAATACATTGATTCTCTCTTTTAAATTAAAATTTTTGTTTTATGTTAAATTTATACTAACTTTTTTTTTTTTGGGTAAATAATTTTATACTAACTTTCTATGCCGTTCTATGATTTTAAAAAATTATTATATTTCTGTTTTTTGTTGTTGTATCATATCTATACTTATTAAGAGATACTCATTTACCTCAACATTTCCAATTTTTATTAATTGATATAATTGCTATAGAAAAAGTTAAAATTATTCTAATAGTACAGAGAGGGTGTATAGGATTTATAATTATATGATGTAAGGCTTTAATATTTCTATAGTGAAGGTAGATAAGTTATCTACATTCACTCTCAAAAAAATGTCGTTTTAAATTGAATGATTAAAAAATTATAACGAGAAAGACTATTATAATTACAAAAATATTATGATTTTTGCCACATAACAACCTCGTTTGAGCTCAATGTAAATGACTTATCTACATTAACTGCAGAAGAAGTGAACCCACACTGCGTTTTTTTTTTTTTTAGAATTAGAGTTTCAATACTTGCTTTGTAGTTAAAAAAAAAATGCAGCTATGGTTTAGGGATAGAAAAACAAGTATTGGGCCGTGATAAAAAAAACGTAATGGGCTGGGACATCCTTATTTGTTTGCTAGGTTTTCTGGTTCGCTATAAATTCCTGAAACCTAGATTCTCAGTTTTCCCAATCTCTGTTAATTCTCCGCAGCCTTGTCTTTGTTTGGGACGAGTAGGGTTTGGTTCAGAGGTTCGGTTTGTTCTCACCATGAGGGCTAAGGTAAGGTCCTTTTACCTCGTTTTTATTTTCTCTTCTTTACATTGTTGTTGTCGTTGTCGTCGTAGGGTTTTTGATTTGATTGGGAGTGTGGATTTGTACAGTGGAAGAAGAAGCGTATGAGGAGGCTGAAGAGGAAGCGCCGAAAGATGAGACAAAGATCCAAGTAGTTTGTGTTCCCCTAACAACAATTGCTTCTAGTTTTGTTTTCATTTCGTATTGTTTTTATTTCGAATTGGACTCCTAAGTAAGAGAGTAGTACCTGTCTCTCTCTTTTTTTTTTAAATGTTATGTTACGTTTTTATTGGTTTCTTTTGCATAATTCTTAGACCAAGAGACGTTCTTCGTGCGAATTAAACTAGCTTTAATATTTGAATCCCTTTTTCTCTCGTGCTTGATTTTTGTTTTTCCGTGATTGGAATTTGGAAATTTCGCGCTCCACTTTGTCTTATGCGGTTTATCTTGGGTTATATATAGATTGACATTGTACGTACGTATTAATTTCTGTGATGAAGTTGTTGGTTACAATTCGAATGATTCCGTCCATGTGTTTGATTATGGTAGCACGCATTGAGCAAAACAATTTTGTTGTTCTAAAGTTGGATGTTCTTGAAGAAAAGAGCTGGTAATGGAAAGTTGGTGCGTCTAGGTTTGCATAATATTGGATGTTTTTTATTTGAAGTTTGAACTGAGGAGGAAAATGTCAAATGCCGTTTAAATGTTTATGGAGACATCTTTGATATTGTTGCATTGCTATTTTCATTATTTGTTTTGGATATATATTTTTGAGTTTGTGATCTTTGAATCCCACCCTGTTATAAACCTGAACTGTTTTTTTTTTTTGTAATTATAAACCTTAACTTTCTTTAATATTGCTATTTTCTTTGTTTATTGAGTTTTTGATCTTGCCAAATGGGGTGTTCTTTACAATCTGTTAGTACAAAGCATAATTTCAAGTGTTGTGTCTACCTTAATTGATATCTGGTTTTACTGATTCTAGTTTAGATATGTACAAATTGTTTTTGGGATAAAATCATGTTCCCAACTGAGAAAATACCGAAGTATTTTTTCATGTATCGAATGGGATCGTCTTCAGAGGTCTCAATGTGATGTATCAAACTCTAATAGAGTTATGTGTAGTCTCCATGCCGCTTTAAGTCTTTACAGTACCATTACTTGAATACTTTGTCGAGTCGTGTTAGAAAGGGTCCTTGGTTGATAGATCATAGCTGGTATGGTATATACGAACAATTGCGTAAATGAGGAACGAAAGGTGAGTTTCCTAAATGTGATTGATCATCCTCGTGATTTCTTGATTGCTTAGGTGGAGTAAAATGAAATTTAATAGAATATGTATAATTTCATTTTATTCAATATCCTCATTTCATTATATTGTTAATTTTGTAAATATGAATAGTTTGTTTTTTATTTTAAATTTTATCATAAAACATCAAAGTAAGAATATAATGATTTTATTTTATCATTTTCACACTTTAGTAGATATCTAAAAATTTTCACTGGACCAAACGCATGTTTTATTTATGTATTGATTTTTTGTGATATCCACACAACCAGCACTGATTTAGGCAACCTGCTTCTTGGTTTAGCTAGCCGTCGTGTTATAATTATCTTAGGCAGTACAATTAGACAGTTTAACTGTGGTTTCATTAATAATGAACAATCTAGCTAAGTGAACTTGCCACGCAGTTAATAAACGATGCAATTTTACACGCAAATGAGTCCAAGTGATGTGTAGACGTGATTCATGAACCTTTCTTCCTTAGTAGCATTAACTTTCATCTGGGACTCAAAATTCAAAATCCCTCATTTCACTCGCCAATCAATCGTTTATATATTTGAAAATCAGAAAAACCACATTGAAGAGAAATTTGTATGAAGGGTAGTGTGTGTGTATTTTATCACTTAAGAAGAAGTGTTTGTGCCCTCAATTGGGAGGGGGAGCCTGTCTTTGACGCCTACGTCTCTTCCCATTCCTCTTCCCTCTAATGGTCCCACATTCCCAATTTGAAGAGGAGAGTTGTTGGCAAGAACCATAAAACCGCTCTTGTACATAACCACTTTGGGCTTGGTTTGAAGGTGTGTGAGAATTCCACGGAAGAATTCAGGAAATTATTAACAATTTATAACTTTCCATCCTTAGCATGTTTTGAGTTCCATCTCGTTTGAGGTAAGTGGTTTGCCTTGGTTAACAGTAGAGAAAGCCTCCTTATAAATCACATCTTTTGTTAAGAAAAGCTCTGTATTGGAATTTTTCTTAGTTCTTTCTTAAATACTTTATTTTTAAGGTTCTAGGATTAAATTGAGGTGAGTAGGGTGTCAAAACTGTGTGGGGCAGCAATTAGGATAGAGTGTCCAGTGTCCGTGTATGATAATATCTGTCTGACTGTCTTTGATCTTTATTTTGTTGCTATAAATAAATACAAGTATGAAATAGTTACATATTGTCACAATCTGGATGTGGACAAGCAAGCTAACAATTTGATCCAAGCCAAAATGAGCATCACATATGAAGCTCTGAGGACCATCTATTATTTAGGCGTACGGTGATATATTTATAGATTTAGGTTAGCTCTTGTACTATAAAAAGATATACTTTTTATATTTTCCAGTAATTTGTACGAAAGTCGAAGCAAAACTTGCTTATGGATAAAAGAATAAAAATAGGTGATTAAATGTTACAAAAAATAAAATAAAAAATAAGGTGTTTAAATATTGAGTTTTATAATTCTCATTCAACATGAGAATTAAAATTTTCCTACACACCCTCCGATTTTCGTGCTGATATGGGTCCTATATATAATTTTTCTAACAATGGGTTCCACATACTTTTTATCTCTACAACATAAGATTTCAATTCTCCTTCAACATGAGAATTATAAAACCCTTAAATATTTCAATTTAAACCCATGTCAACAATTATTTATTCGATCTCGATATTCCAGTAATCGTGAACCATTCACGTTACATCATGATCACTTAAAGAGGATGCTGACATCCTGGATTCATGTATTTGCTTTCCTTATCGAATTTTACCATCTCTCACTACACTATCAATTGTTTTTGGCCAGTAAAAATGATCCTTAGATCGATTTACCCTAAAAAAATAATTCTCAGATCACTTTAGAATTTTAGATATATAATCCAACATAAAAAATTCAGCATGTCTAAAAATAAGAAGTACTTAAAATGGAGACACATCGTACATCGGGAGAGAGGAAATTTACATATTTTAACAGCAATTTTAATTTCCCCCTATATATTTTGCAAGGATGAATTTTCTTGAAGTTTCTTTTTGTTTTAAAAGTTTTATAAGAGTTATGTTGTAGAAAAAGTGATTGTGTAATGTTATAGAGATTCGTTTTGCGTGCCGTAATTTCTTTTTTTTTTTCTTTTTTCTTCAAAAAGTGTGAGCTCCACAAAATGTTGTGTGTAGAAAAATTTGTTGTGTCATGTTAAATGACAAATGCAAACCCATTGTTTTAATACGGATAATCTGAACATGGATTTGGTCCTTTTATGTAATTAATGCCACTGGCTGCTTTATTATATCATTAATCCTAGCAGCTGTTTCTATGTATCAAAAAAGAGAATATGGGGTGTTCTCTCATTTTTTTAATCTCCTTAACCGGTTCATTCTCTGAACTAGTCCGATTGAAGTACTCTCGTGTAGGGGATAGCTATCCCAAAACCATTTTTTCATTTTCATGACTCAAGCTTAAAACCTCTAATTAAGAGACACGAGCTTCTTACCAGTTATACTATTGGTGGGATGTTATCATTATTAAACACGAACAACTTGCACAACTTGTGGGGACGTGCCACTGAATCCATTAATCACTTCTAAAAGTCAAATGTAGTTATGACTTAACACTAAACCACTTTTCCACTTCTAAGAATCAGCGAGCAACTCAATGATCCTCCCAATTGGATGAGATCTAAATCAAGTTAAGTTGCTCCTTTTCTATTCTCTTGGTATAACACATATCATACACATGATTTCTTTACTTAACTTTTTGCATATGCTTTTGCTTAATTTGCTTCCTTTTAATTTCTTATCACTCTTTAACTTTGTTTGCCTTAATTGATGGTACAAAATCAACATTTCAGCTTCCTAATGGACAAACTATATATTTGATAGGTATATAATACTGAAAAATAAAGCAAATAATTGCCCCCAATGAAATGACCCTCTCCAAAGCAAAAAAAAAAAAAAGGGGTAAGAGAATGATTTTGCAGTTAATTACTGTACGAAATGAGAAGGCAAGAAGAACCTTTGCCTCTTACTTCTAGTGGGAAAATTAGATGTCATGGATGGTGAAGCAATTTTGGTCACAGCTGAATTAAGGGACTGTTTGAGAGTGCTAAGGCAAACACCCTCTTCACTATCCTTAGAACAAAGTATCAATATACTTTTAATTCTGCCACCAACACTTGATATGTCAGCTTTAACTGCTGTGAGTCTCAAGCCTTTGAGGACTTGGATTAGTTCAGAGAATAGTTCTGGTCGATCATCACAGCAAACAGAAGCTTTGATGATTATATTGTCCTTGAACTTGTTGACTTTAGTGCAACTTTCATCTTGAATAGTGTCATAGTCAATTGATACTTCATCAATTTCAGTTGGAACTGTGAAGGCTTTGCTAACATCCATTGCTTTTCGCTTTAGATCTTTGACACGGTCTACCACACTCCCTAGTAAAGCTGCCTTGTCCATCTACAATTACACAAATGTTATATATACACTTTTTGTTAGCTTCATTCAATATTCTATCTTTCATTAAGATGGGTAAGTGAAATTCAAATCCTTATAAGACTTTGCTAACCATAAATATATGTCACTTCCAAATTCCATTAATTATCTTGTGTGAGGGCTAAGTACACTACTAACTATTGCATCCGTAAAAAGAGACACATCAAAATGTTATAAGCTTTAAATGGTAATACTTTATAAACTATGCCACTCTTGAAAAGAGACACATTAAAATTGGTTTACCTTATCAGACTTGGGAATCAGTTTTCTTAGAGTTGCAAGCTGTGCATTGATCCTGTCTCTACGCCTTTTCTCTGCTAGACTGTGACTCTTAGAAGCACTTGCTGCTCTCTCTTCTGGAGCCCCTTCAAAGGTTACTGGCCATGAGTGGAACTCACCAAATTGAAGAGAGGAAAAGTCAGACACATGAGGCAGTATTTGTGTAGGGATTGAATAAGGAGAATGATCACTGCATTGAGCCAAGTTGGTACCCAGATGCAAGCCAGAATCATAGTAATTTTCCATAGTCACAATGGAAACCATTCTAAAGTTTCTCCCATTCTCTCAGAGCTTTTTATCTCCCATCCGCAGCCACTGTTTGCTGCACTAATAATGGGTGATCTTCTTCTTATCTTGATAGTGATTGGTGTGATAAGCAATAACTTTTGATTGGTCAAAATGAAAATCGATTTTGGCTGTATCTTTCTGTCACTTCACCAATAATTTTTTTTCCCTCTAATAAATCTAACGAACTTGACTTTATAAGGAGGGTGGAAAATGAAGTGTAAAAGAATAAGAATGAGGGTAGTAATCTAATATTAGTTAGTATCCGTGCTGAGTAAGAATTTGTACCATAATTGAAATAGTATCTAACAAATAGACTTTCTTGATCAATGATCTCAAAAGTGTCATTTTACTTATCTTGAACTTTTGCCTCATAAGGTTACATTTTAAGATTAAGTGATTTTCATATAAAATAGCAGTGAAACTGTATGTTAGAATTTCTTAGCATTTACCTTAAAGACAAAATATTAAGATTGGTTAATTGTTTGATAAAGTAAAAAGTAAGCAATGAAGATTATTTCAAAGTGGTAGGCTTATGGTGGTGGATCCCATTAATTGAAGATACTTTAAGATCTTCCACATCGAATTGTCAATTTTGGTGGAATTAAGCTTTCACACTTTCGCCTACATCCCTGTACAATTATTCCAACCAATGTTTTAGTCTCTGCCATGATCACCAAGATGAAAAAAAGTTATACAAAGAAGAGAAAGACACAGGATCAATTAAGTAAAAAAGAAAAACCTAAGATTTGCTCATGCAATTGGACAAACGCATGTTGTAGCAACATTAGTAAAAGAATTGCCCTTCAAGTTTAAGACACCTGGGGGACCCATTTAACCATACAAGTCCAACTTTTCATCCTTCAAAGACAAGGTTTGGTTTACCTTCATGCATCTTGATTGAAAGGTGGAAGTTCAAAGCATTAGACTGAGTAAAAGAGACCTATTTTTTACACTTTGGTGTCACTCTGATTGAAAAGCTTGCTTAGTCTGTCTACAGCACAAGCTAGCAAACAAAGAAGCCTCAATTACAATCACTGCTGGGTCACAACGTAGGACCCTATACTCAACTCAAAATTGCAACTCATAATAAAGAGCACCTTAAAGGGTGACAAGACTTCTGATCAACCACTCACTTTGTAAACCTCTCTATCTATCTCTCAAAACAAATTGTGTGGTTTGTTATGAGTCCGTGTTGACGTAAAAGATACAAAATAATTAATAAGTTTACTCTAAAACTTTAAAGTTTTAGGTTGAGGTGACGTTTATTATGATATTAAAGTTAGAGAGATTAGGAGGTCATGAATTCGATCCTAATCGGTCTACACTTTCAGATGAAATTAAGAAAAACACAAGGTAAATAAAAAATAGACCTGCACAGCACAAGATAGCTCAAAAAAATGGACTTATGACATATTCAGGCTTCAAATCCAAAAAGTTATTACGTGAGATAATGTGTTAGAGACATAAAATAACAAAATAATTAATTAAGTCTCACCTTAAATCTTAAAGTTGTGGGTTGAAGTGACACTTATTACCTATGAAGCACCGACACTTCAAAAATCTTGACGTGTCGTGTCCGACACTTCCTGACACTTCAACACGCGTTATAGAAATTCAAGAAAATGTTCAAAGATTTCGTTGTGTTGAGTTTTTAGTTCCAACTATTAGATTCGTTGGATTACGATTACTATTTCATTGAGTTTAATATAAATATTTGGGATATCTTATATTTCTTTGCAAAATTGATGAATATGATAAGTTTAGTTTTATTTTTTTATTAAATTATTGAATATTAAATATAATATACACTACATAAATTAAAAATATTATTTAATATCAAAACATGTCCTAACGTGTCGAAATCTAACATTTTTAAAATTAACGTGTCGAAATCTAACATTTTTTAAAATTAACGTATCGAAGTATCGTATCATATTGTGTCACGTATCCCGTGTCAGTATCGATGCTAGATAACTTATTACTTCTTTCATTTCTTTTTCATCGTTTATTTTTCTCTTCTGTTTCTCCATTTTATATGTCAGATTAAAGGTTTTTTTTTTGGGTCCCATTACCTCAGAACATATCTGCAATATATATCTTATCTTATATACACACAAATAGTCGGCAAGTGAAGTGTTACGAGAAAAATGTGGCAAACCAAAAGGATGAAAGTGAACATAGACAGCACGTCTTTCGAAATTTTAACTTGTCAAGAAACAACATGATATTGATTTGAGAAATAATTGAAAGAAAAATAGCCGCCATTTGTAATTTACTCAAATCAAAATTTCCGTTGTTATAGAACTGGGACGAAAATGAAATAAATATATAAAGTCAAAAGTTTAAATAAATGTTATACCAAAGAAACTTTTCTCGTTTTAGATTCCTCATGTTCCACCACTTCTACCATACCCACTACCATTATATCTCAGAACGACCCCAGTTCAACGAATGGAAAATCATTGTTGTTGCGGGGGCCATAACCTAAAACTTGACCAGTTGAACTTCCAGTGTTTTGGTACATTGACCTCTTGTAGTAATAAAAAGCTAAATCAGTGTGTTCTACCAGGGACTGGTTGATTGATCCTAGATCTAGGAATGTTTTATGTTTAGGATAGAAATCTCTATTCAGGGAGTAATGGATTGATTTTGGATATAGGGCTCTATCAGGTATCTATGAATGAGATACCTTTAAGGTAAGCAAATCACTGTGCACAAAGCTAACAGAGTAGTCAAAGGAGAGGTGTGTATGCACAATGACAGCTAATGAGAGAGAGAGAGTGAACCTGTCAGATTTACCTCTTATTTATAGAGTTTACCTCTGAATAGTGGAATTTTGGACCTCTGATGAAATTTGGAGGGTCCAATGGTTGATTCATTGTAGTCACATTAGGATTAGTATAATTAATAAATCTTTCCTTAATATCCCACTTAGTTGTTTATTTTTCTTGAGTCTTCTAGAATGTGGGCCTTTACCGTGCTGCAATAATTGTCATTTTCGTGATGATGAACTTGTCTTCTTTTTCCGATAATTTTCCTCTGGGTTGAAACCCTTTTTGACCTACTTAATCGGGTCAGTGATTGCAATTATTGTCTTTAGTTGTGTTCAATATCAAACTCGTTGAGCTTTGCTGCTAGGATCGGGTCATGTCCTGGTCCTTGTTCAGTGCATTGGTTTGGGACTTGCCAAATGAGTCTAGACTCTTCTTTCTAGTCTCTTGTGCTGGCTTCTTTTTCCGGTAATTTCTCCCTTGAACTTTTTCGATTTAGGCCCATATTAAAAGTGGATGGGCTTTTCCTTTGACCTCGTTGCCGAGGTCTTTTCCCTGCTTTTCTGAGTTGCGGTGCTTTTTCTAAAATTTAGGTATTCTTATTGGTCTTCGCTCTGGATTCTGTTCTTCGGGTACTTCCTGGTTCAAACTGAGCGACTTTATTTTTTGTACTCTATGATTCAAATTTTAACTCGGCCTTTGAACTTTTGTGCCGGGTTTCGTGAGCTGGGGACCTCTTTGGTTGAGGTCCCACTTGAGACTAGCCGATCTTTCTAGCATTTATGTCTTGGCTGACTTCCTTGGACTGGGTTTTCTGGGTCGTGTTGGGCTGAAATCTTTTGTCCTTCCTTATTCCATTCGACGATTATGCCTTTAACTGTGCCCCTTTCTGACTGGTAGGATGTGCCTTGGGAGTTGCATGTTGCCTTCGCGTTTTGTGCACCATAACAAAGTCGTGTTAGGCTGAAATCTTTTGTCTTTTCTTATGACTTTTTGGCCTTTTTCCTTGATTTGAGCTTCAGAATTCGTTTGTAGGGGTCTCACCCTATGGAGATTGTTGCTCTTCCTCGTTCCATTTTGACAGATGTGTTCCTACACGTGCCCCCCAATTTGGCAGTCTCAGCATTCGGGCTGAAGTGTTGTTGGGCCACCATGCATATCTTTCTATTGTGAGTGACTTCTTATCAGTGCGACTAGATCTGAATTCCGCGTTCGACTTTGGTGCCAAGTTACCTGCAGTTTTGCTAGTGCTTCTATTGTTTCTGCTTTCTTGGTTGATGTTTGGTTCTAGAGTAGCCAGTCTTTCTATACACCGCATTGTTCGTGCTTCTGTGTTGCCTTGTTTTGGCTGACCAGGGCCTTTCACGTTCCTTTCGCGTTCTTGTGATTTTTTCGGCCTCCTCATGTTGGACTGCGTTCATGAGTCTGTTTGGGTCATCTAGAAAGACGAGTAGCTGTATATTAGAATGCCGACTTATTTTGTAATCTTTTTGCTTTTTCCTTTTGTGGGGGCCTTGAGTCCTTTTTTAGGTTGTAAAGTACATCACCGGGTTTGTTCTTGGCCTTTATTCTCCCTATATGGTCATTTTGAAATTTTGCATTGTTATTTGTGATGCACCTTTTGTTCAAGTTACTTGGTCTGGACCCATGGCGTTGAGCCTCTTTTGGCATTTCGTTATGCAAATTATTTAGGTCTGGCTTGATTTTTGTGGCTTTAGCACTTTTGAAGGCAACAATGTCACCTTATGGGTTGCTCGCAGGTGCAGGACTTGTAGCCCGAATTCAGGTCTGACACGTTCAATCGTGGGTCTTCACTATCCACCACAGCTTCTATACTGGGGCCTTAAGTCTAGACTCGACTTGATTTGCTGACGTCTTAGTGTAGGCAGAATGTTGCAGAATAATTCATCTTTTACTGAAAAGTGATAGTCTTTATGTAGATGCTTGCGATTCATTATTACGCAGTCATTTTAGGGCTTTTAGAGCTCGGAGCTATAGTCGAATTTCTAAACTTAGTCTCGTAGCCGGGTTGCTTGCAACCTTGTTGGCGTCTCACCCGCTTTAGGGAATCTTGGCGTGATCTGATCCCCCATGATTTCACAGGTCCTCCAAACATGATTTGGACCTGATTGTCTGACCCTCATGGGGTGCATCCTTTAACAAGTTGTTCGAGCGCGTCTTATAGCCTTTTGCTTCTTTTCGCATTCAGTTATGCTATTTGAACCCAACTTACTTTGACATGGAGTATAGTATCTACATGGGCGACAATTACGCCATGGCCCTAGTTTCGTACCTCTATGGGGGAACTTGTGGGGTCCAAACTCATGGCCCAGACCTTGGATTAAGTTGTTTCGTCGGCATATGTCGTCGTGGGCTTTCATTAGTTGAACCCAACTTACTTTGTTGTTACTTATTTTTTACTTTATTATAACTTGGCTTCTCTTGCCAAAGCTTTAAGTTTGTGAAAGCGATTTTCGCCTCTTTAGTTGGAGCCGAGCTTACTTCGCATCGACTTATTGTAACTTGCTTCTTTTACCAAAATTTTAAGTTTGTGGAGACAATTTTCAACCACTTTATGGAAGTAGTAATAATGTATTGTGGTTTATAATATGTCTATAATTTATGAAGGGCCAATTCTAGAAAACATTTGGTTGGTGAAACAGTATCATACAATTAAAAGCTTTAGCCGTAATTAACTTGTATCAACATAAACATTATTAAAATTAATTACGAGTTTAATTTTGATACACTATTAACGTCCATAATGTATTGTCACATCAATTGATGAGTTTGATAATACATGAGATGTTAACTCTATCAAATAATATGGCAACATATTATTAGGTAATATCATAAAACTTTTTTACATTTATAGATTATTTAACTTAAATTCATTGATTAATTACAATTTGTTAATTATTTCTTCGAAGTATTAATTTATTAATAAAAGTAATCACCTGAATTATTTAATTTAACCACACAGAAATGTGATTAACTACAAATGTCAACTGAGCCAGATGTATTTTATAATATAGCCTGTAATTATACGGAGAAGTGTATAGAGCCACCCTAGACTTACATCTTTTATAAATAGACAAAACACCTTCAAACTTTAATTTCGTCCCAATTAGTCAGCAACTATTGTTACAATAGATCTACTTAGAATTGATTTACTAACTGTGAATGAATACAAACCATTCATTCTTAATTCTAAGTTTTAAAATTTATAAATAAGTAAAAGAATAGTGTTTAAATTGCAGAAATTAATTATTGGAATAATAATTTTGAAAGAAAAAACACTGAACACTAATGAACTAAGTGAGCGACTCCACAATAATTCTCTTTTCTTTTTATGTAATAACAACTATGAGAAGAAAAACAGAATCAATTAAAAACAATATAAAAAAGTAAAAGAAGGACAAGAGCCTCAAGAGGAACTATAGGTGTAAATGTTGAGCATTATATGTTATATTCACCTGTACATCCCCTCTGAAGTAAATCTCTCTCCTAGCTTATGAAATAATAATAACAATAAGAAACAGAATCTGAGAACCTAAAATGTGAAAAACTGATCAGTAACATCAGTCCATGAAGTTTGATGAAGCTGTAGCTTGTCCAAAGATGTAAATCAGCTACTATATTTATGGTGAATTTGTAACTTAACCCCTCATCTCAGTACTCATTAAAATGGATTGCACCAACTTTCCACACAATGTAAGTTGTTGCAAACATCACTGTACTGATGAAAACAAATGAAAAGGCAATGACAAGCAGATCTAATCCCCCAGGAAAATCGAAAGTCAAGCCTTGCTTTGGCATCCCTCTTTTGCTGTCATCAAACAAATTAGTAGGTGCTTCTGGAAGTCTAGATCTTTTCTTCCCTCTATCACTTTCTTTTGAAGCATCCAACACTCTCCTCCTGCCCATGTCTGATTTTGATGATGTTTTTGATTCCGTGTACCGGTTGAGGACTCGAGCTGCCCTTAACCTCTCTCTTGCTGTCAGGGAAGATCTTTTAGTTGTAGATTGTGATTTAGGAGATGCTGCTGACCCTTGCTTTTGGATAACTGAACCATTGGAACCCTTTGATGTTTGGGATCCTGAATCAGCAGCAACTTTATCTTGCAATTGGAAATTTTCATCTTGAGGATTCATGGATGCTAATTGATCATTGTTGGCAGGTGAATTTTCAGCACTGCCAAAATCCTCACTACTGGCGTCTGCTGCGAGCTGATCACTATCTGCAACTGAAAAACAATGGCCAAATCTTTTTTCCTTGGCAAGCATTCTTGATCCATACATTACCAAGAAGGGTGTTGTAAACTGAGTGGCCTTTGGTAAAGAAGCTCCAATAGAATATCTTGATGCATCCTGATACTTTGCTTGCAACTTCTAATGGAGAATTAAAAGACTTGTGTTAAGTGACCAGAAAAATAACAGCCAATAATAACACGATTAAATTATACTGAAGTAATTGATGACAAACACAAAATAACCATTGATAACTCATTACATATAAGTCGGTGCTTTTTCTTATCAAGAATAATCTCATGACATATAAAGGATTCTGACCAGTAGCTAAACCCTCATTTTATCATCAAAAAGCTCTCTGAACCAAAACATAACTTAAGAACGGATCATAACTAACTATAGAACTACAATTAATAAATCTGTCTTCACAGTAATAGAAAAGTCCAGACAGACGCATTGGTTTGGTGCATGTTAACAAACTAGGTACCCACCAAAGCTCCACCCCCAAGGAAATTTGATTGTCTATAGTTCAGAGTAGTGACATAAAGTAATAATACACTGGAACATTAGCTTTCATGAGAAGTTCACCTAACGAATACTCTCAAAGCATTATTATTATTTGCTTACCTCCATAAAAGCTCCAAGTTAAATAATCCTTACCATCTAAAGTTCTGTATGCAGTGCCTCCAATCTCTTACAACCCAATACTTATATTTCAGCTTTTTTTTTTCCTGAACCCCTAACTCTAACAGCCACCTCTCCCAATCAATCCCCATACCATAAAACACAATCTTCTTACTATAGCAGAAATCCATAAACTTTTTATCTCCATATCCTTCCCAATGTTACCAGAAGAAGCTTGGTGAATCATCTCAAGGAACCACAATTCTTTGAGTTGCACATCATAAATTCAAAATTAATAATTTCTCCAATTAATCTATCATTTATTTTTTCCTTTTTTATTTATGTTTCTCACTTTTTTCCTATAGAACAAAAATCCAGGACAAAATTTTCATAGAAGCGTTTCAGATTTGCAATAAATTTTGGAGTAATAGAGAACACCACAGAACTTCATAAATTCACGTAACCTCATCAGCGCCAAGAACTGCTTATCTCTAAAGTCTAAATGTTATAAAATTTCTTCCTTCCACTTACGTTTAACCTTTGCTGGCTGTAAAGCTTCAAGGTGAATCCAAAAGCTTAAACTGTTAGCTCTGATAATATCACATGAAGAATCAATTCAACCATAAGGTTAAACTGTATTAATATTTCTATATTTCTCTAACTCTAGCACATGTTGAAACAGTGGCCACAAATACGTGTAACAAATTAAAGTCCGAGATGCTCAAAAAGGGGTATTCAAATAATCCTCAGATGCTTCAAAACCAAAGGAAAACATCTGATTTGAGAAAACCAGGAATGGTCCAATGAAACAAGAGGAAATGACTCTAACCAAAAGAGAAACATAATAGCTCCCAACAAGTAAAATGAATGGTGAAGAAGTAGGAGAACAGGAACCACATACCGTTGAGCTGAAGCTCATGATGGGGTTTAAAGATAGAGCCATGTTCTTGTCTTTCAAAGCCCAACCATGGATAGCCACAAAGAGTGGTTTTCCTCTTACAGCTAGATTGTTTATTCAGAATTGAAATTGCTGCTCTTAACACACGCCACATAGCGCGTGACCACACCGACTGCTGCTTTTTCAGTGTGAAAAAACAAAGGGGAATTACGGTCCATTTGATTATGTTCTGTTCTGTTTTTTTTTTTTTTTTTTTAAAAAAAAAATTGTTTTGTAAAGTAATGTGTTTTCTGAATTAATATTTTTTTAAGTTAAAAGTTAAAATATAAAACAGAAATAACTGAAATATGTTATTTAAATTTGATTTTAAAAACTAAAAAATAGTTATAATTTTTAAAATTATTATTACAAAATAGACATTATCAAACAATATTTTTTTTTTTCTGAAAGTTATTTTTAAAAAAAAAAATAGAATTCAAACATGTCATTAGTAATTTAATCACATAAATATCAAAATAAATTTTGTATACAAAACAAAGAAACTTTAAGTCAATTATTAGTGATCTGGGACCAAAAAACAAAGTAGTAATAGTGGAGTACATAATATTAAAAATATAATAAATTAATATATACAGATCTAAATATTTTAAAAAAATCATACAGATATCATATAAACTTAAATCATCACAAACAGGGGTGTAAATGGACTGGGCTGGGCTTTGGCCTTTTTGGCCCAAGCCTACGTCAAAAAAATTCAGCCTATCTGGCCTACTCGCCTATTAAAGGCTTTATTTGTAGGCCAAGTCCGGCCCGTTTTTAAAAATAAGAAAGCCCGACATGGCCTACAGGCCTTGTAGGCCTCCCACTGTAGATACTAAGCAAAAAAAATAATTGTATAGAGCAAAGAAAGTTCCATTCATGCATGCACTAGTACTTCTCATAAGAAAAAAATGACAAACAAGAAGGAGTCAACATAATACCCCAGCTCTAGAATGTATATCATAGAGGAATAGAGTCAAAGAAATGGAGAAAATAAAAAAAAATACAATTACCGGAAGCTGAAATAAAGTCTACAAGAGAATGTCATTTATCTAAAAATCTTTAAACCACCATCAAGACAGGAGAAATAAGAGTATTATTGAAAGATCTTCATCAGTAACATCATAATCCAGCAAGGTACCCATTACTCCTTGGTATTAAGCTGCAACAGCATGTAAAATTTGGAGACATTAGACAAGTTTTCCTTTCATAAAATAAAATAGCACAAAAAGTAAGAGATATTGGTATTTGATACTTTGCGTCTTTGCCACATAAAATAAATATTATTTTATTATTTTATTTTAATAAATTAAATAGGCCAGCCTGGCCCATTTACACCCCTAATCACAAAGATCCAAATCTCCTATAAGTCCTCTAAATCTCTCAGCCACTGTTTCATCTAAATTTTCACTAGAAATTTATTAATTTTTTGTTGACGAACTTTTTTTAATGTACATAGCAATTATGAATTATTTTTCTAGATCGTAGTTAGGAACTTTGCATATGGTGTTCATAGACCTTGAGAAAGCATACGATAGGGTTCCAAGGAAAGTTTTATGGTGGGTCCTGGAGAAGAAAAAGGTTCCATTAAAGTATGTAAAGGCAATCAAGGATATGTATGATGGGGCTACTACATGTGTAAAAGCTTGCAACGGATCATCAAGTTATTTTCCTATCACGGTAGGTGTACACCAAGGGTCGGCTCTAAGTCCTTACCTATTTGCCTTAGTTATGGATGAACTAACAAAAGATATTCAAGAGGAAGTGCCATGGTGTATGCTTTTTGCAGACGATATTGTGCTTATTGATGAGAGCAAGGAGGGTGTTAATAGAAAACTTGAATTGTGGAGAAGCACATTGGAATCCAGAGGATTCACATTAAGTCGAAGCAAGACTGAGTATCTGAAGTGTGAGTTTTCTCTGGTACAAGATGAGGACCAAGAACCTGTGCATCTAAATGGTCAAGAGGTACCCAAAAAAAATGCTTTTAAATACTTGGGCTCCATTTTACAAAATGGTGGAGAGATTGATGAGGATGTAAATCACAGAATCAGAGCAGGGTGGATGAAATGGCGTAGTGCATCTGCATTTTTGTGTGACCGCAAAATTCCCCTGAAGTTAAAAGGAAAATTCTATAAAACGGCAGTACGACCGGCAATGCTATATGGAGCGGAATGCTGGCCAGCACATAGGCAACATGAGCATAAGATGGGAGTAGCAGAGATGAGGATGTTAAGGTGGATGTGTGGGTACACAAGGATGGATAAGATAAGAAATGAAGATATTCGACGAAAGGTCGGAGTAGTACCGGTAGCCGAGAATATGAGAGAACATAGATTGAGGTGGTTTGGGCACGTGATGAGAAGACCCATGGATGCTCCTGTAAGAACAGAAGTTTGTTACCAAGAGCTAAACACAAAAAGAGGCAGAGGTAGGCCGAAGCTTACTTGGGGGAAAGTAGTAAAACAAGATTTAATGGAGTGGGATATAGATTGGCGGACAGTATGTCTTAGAAAGGAATGGAGAAAAGCTATAAGTATGGTGAAGGGTTAGACTCGCTGTTATTCCTATGTTCCAGATGGTCCTTTTTTAGTCCTTTTCCCCTTCATTTCCCCCACTTCTTCTTGTCCCTTTCTTTTTTACTTTTATTTATTTATATATACATATATTTTTATTTCATTTTATTTTATTTTATTATTTTATTTGTGTATTTTTATTTATTTATTTATTTATTTATTTTTTATTTTTTACTTTTTTTTTACTTTTTTTCAACCATTTTGTATCTTTCATGTGGGTTCATCTACCACCGACCCCAATTAATTTGGGATAAAGGTGTTGTTGATGTTGATGTTGTAGTTATGAACTTATTTAACCAAGACATTATAAATTTATATAAATATAGCATATTTTTAAGTAAAAAATATTAATTTTTGTTCTATTAAGTGTCAGATAATGCATCGCGAAACATAAAATAATATTATCTCATCCAATATAATATCTTATATAATCTCATACCAAACAACAAATACTATTAAAAGTTTATTAAATCTTATACAAATAACATCTTACAGGTTTTATATTATGAGGTTTATTCTATCATGCGTAACAAATGAACCATAGGCACTGTTCACAAAGACTAACTAGCAGCGATGAGTATTGTAGCCAAAAATGTCGGGTGCAAGAGCTCAAGCAGCAATATCTAAGCAAAGTGCTTTGTCAGTACCAGAAATGTGAATTGAGTTCACAACCAAATCGGATTAAACATGAAATTAAGTCGCAATAAACCACGTATACGACAATCAACATGCCAAACAAGCTTTACACAGGAAGCTTCCATAACAAGAAAAAGTGGAATAACAGGCCATGACAAACATGGGCTAGTAGTCGAAGTCGGTCTATTTCGTATTACACTTTAGACCAAATTAATAGATAAATACAGAAAATCCTCGGCTAGCTCGTACAAGCAGCCCAAAAAAATGCCTCAACTACAAAAAAAAATATTACAAAACTATGACACACTCCCCAACAGAAACTCGAAATTATTTTGACTTGAACCTCCACCTCCATCAGAAGCAAGGAAAGAATACTCCATTAAAATCCCACAAAATCTACGAAAACTCCACAGCTGCAACTTTGCTCTTCGTATATAGACTTCAGTTCATTGCTGAACCTGCCATGGTTTGCATGCGTGTCAATAGCTGCTGCCCATGGATGGCATGCCCATGGGTGGCATGCCAAAAGGAGGCATTGGAGGCATTCCCATTCCACCCATTTGAGGGGGAGGGGCAAAGCCTCCTCCTCCCATTCCAGGCATTGGTGGTGCAGGCAAAGCAAGAGGCAACAATTGAGCATACATATTCTGCAACAGAAACATTTTATTCAATCAGTATTCAGTACCATCATAAAGTTCAATATTTTTTTCGAAGGACGGATGAGAGGGAGATAGAAATTATCAACTAAGTTATTACCTGTTGCGCAATTACTTCCTTTTCCTCTTTTTCTTTAGCCTTCACTTCGTTCTGTGCTTCAATTTTGTACTTCACTAGTTCATCAACTTTGCCAGTGTACTCACGGATAAACTACAAGAGCAAAGACAGTGAAAGAGAGTATTGGATAAAATGATGAAAAAGACATGCATGTCAACTGCATTATATATTACAAGTAAGCAGCTGAGAGGAAACAAAAACCTGTAAGAGATATGGGAAGGCAAAGTCAATCATATTGTGCATCCAAGCCAGTTCAAGAACAATGTCTGCCCGGATCAAATCATAGCAAACAAATAGACACGAGGCAAAACATTCCTTCTTTCCCTGCATAAGCATGTGGAAAGACATAAGGATATTTTGACCTTACTCAATTGTATGCACAATTGTAAATAAAAGATTGGAATATCACCATTACAAAGGTATAGTTTGGACATTAAGGTAAGAAAATTAAATCACAATCCTTCAGTCAGTAAGCATTGACAATAAAGCTAATAACATGAAACAAGAATAAATTGTCACTCTAGGCTTCACAAATAATTAAATCACAATCCTTCAGTCAGTAATTCCAGTTGCCAATAATTTCTCTGCATGGCTTTAGAACTGCACCCTGCTATGAAGGATGCAACAAGCACCCATATGCAATAAACAAAACTCGATTATTTAGCATCTTAGTCTTTAAATAAAACATGTTAACTGTGAATAAGAGTCGACCCTAAATCATATAGGCTGGGGCCATATTACAAAAAAATGAATTATATGTCGTTGAAACTGAATTTGGTACCTGATCAATGAAATAAACAAGCAACTCCTCAGCAAGTTCACGTTCACCAGATTGTGAAGCCGTCTCCATGGCATCTTTGTAAAGGTTATCCTTCTTTGACAAGGCAATAGACTGCTTCCACCTACCTGCCTTCTTGTAAATATAAGCAGCAACACGTCTCATCTCAAGAAGCTCATGCTTTTCAATCTGCATTACAGGTAAGTAATTATAATAATCTATCAGGTTCCTGCAATTGAATTGAAAGATAGTTATTACGAAGAATAAATGGAGCTCACCTTCTGTGCAAGGCCAATTTGATCGAAGTTATCATGCAAATCA